TACTACTACTACTACTACTACTACTACTACTACTATGCTACTACTACTACTACTACTACTACTATTACTACTACTACTACTACTACTACTACTACTACTACTACTACTACTACTACTACTACTACTACTACTACTACTACTACTACTACTACTACTACTACTACTACTACTACTACTACTACTACTACTACTACTACTACTACTACTACTACTACTACTACTACTACTACTACTACTACTACTACTACTACTACTACTACTATACTACTACTACTACTACTACTACTACTACTACTACTACTACTACTACTACGACTACTACGACTACGACTACTACTACTACTACTACGACGACTACTACTACTACGACTACTACTACTACTACTACGACGACGATCAGTGGTCGAATGTGCGTTCTTATTAATAAGATTACTAGTAGTGGTATCATTGATCTTGTTATTGCGATTCGTCGTAATATATTTAGTAGAAGTACTAATACTTTAAATATTAACTCTGTGCTTGGCATAGGTGTTCCTCGATCCGCCTCGTCCTCGTCTTCCTCGAGCACCGGCGACATGCCGAACGGCCTGTGCTGCCAGTCCTCGGCCCGGCGCGCCTCGAGCACGGCGGCCCGTTCCTCGGCGGCGCGGGCCTGCGAAGTGGCCTCGCGCGCCTCGCGCCGCGCGTCCTCGGCCTCCTCCCGCGCGCGGGCGGCCGCGACGCGCTCCTGGGAGGACGCCAACTGTACGCATGCAGCAATCTTGGCCACGCCCATCCCTGGGCCCAGGATCGGTGTGTATACGTCCCCCTGCCATGCGCAGGCAGGCATACACGCCGTTTGAAATCGGCAACGCCGGCAAGCGCAGGCGCGAGGGTCGGTACCTGCTGGGCGCGCCGGCCGCGGGGCGCGAGTCACGATTGAAGGCATAGACACGCCGACCCCAGGCCCAGGATCGGTCCAGGATCAGGATCGGTACAGGTGCATCATAGCTGGTGCCCTCCGCGCTCCTCCGCGGCGGCCATGGCGCTCGCAGTCGCGCGCTGCTCCGCAATGGCCAGCTGCTCCTCGACCACTGCGGCGGGCCTCTGCGGCGCCTGGGGAGACCAAAAGTTACCGATACCGCTGCTCCCCAGACCCTACCCTTCCGGGGGTGCGCTCTGACCAGAATCTCGAAGAACGGTGGCGACGAGGGCCCCCCAGGAGGCCAAAAAACAAACGACAACAAGGCAGGAGAAAGAGGAGAAGGAAGAGGAGGAGGAGGAGGAGGACCAGTGTAAACCCAAGAGCCATCAACGATATTGGAGGAGGGCTGCGCTATCCGTACCTCTTCCTCCTCTGAGCGCCTGCTGCACCGGCAGCACCGGGCGCGAGCGCCGCCCGGCGCGCGCCGAGGCGGCGGCGTGCGGGCCCCGCTCGGCGGCCCGCCCGCCCAGCAGAGGCCGCGCGCTGACGGGCGCGCGCGCCGCGTCGGGCGCCTCGCGCGGCGACCTGCGCAGGGCCCGCGCCTCGCGGAGGCTCCGTGCGGAGGCCTCTGCCGCGCGGTGCTCGCGCTGCGGCGGGGGCTCGCGCTCGCGCGGCTGCGAGGGCTGCCCCTCGATGTCCGCGGCCTTGCACTGCTCGGCCTCGCTGCGGGCAGGTTCGCTCGCGGCCAGCGTCCTGAGCTCCTCCACCTCCTGGGCCGCGGCGTGCAGCTCGGCGAGCTGCTCGGAGAGGCTGGCCTGCAGCTGCGCCCTCGAGCTCTCCGCCGCTTCCAGCAACTGCCGACCCTGCGCGCGCTCCTCGCTGACAAGTTTCTGCAGCGAGCTCTCCGCGGCCTCCAGGCGAGTGATTTTCTCGGAGAGCCTCTCCTGCAGCTGCAGCTTCGAGTCCTCCGCCTCCTGCAGCTGCTTCCGTTGCTGCGAGTGCTCCTCGCTGGCGAGCTTCTGCCTGGAGTCCCGCACCGCCTGCAGCTCGGCGAGCTGCTCGGAGAGGCTGGCCTGCAGCTGCTGCTTCGAGTTCTCTGCCTCCTCCAGCAGCTGCTGGCTCTGCGCGTGCTCCTCCCTGGCGCGCTCGCGGAAGACGACCTCCGCCTGCTGCAGCTGATCCGCCTGCGCGCCGTCGGCACGTCGGGGCGTGTCAGGCTGCCTGCTGTTTGGCGACCGCTTGTTTAGAAAGACCGCCCCCTGCGTGTTGCTCCGTGGCGCTCTTCTCGGCCTCGAGACAGCGCCAAAACGGCTCCAGGACCATCCTGAGATGGCTGCAAGATGCCCTGGGACCAGCCGCAAATGGCCCAGACACACAATTTTTGATCTGCGGGGCGAGAGCGAACCTCTTCCGCTAAAAGCTAGGCGGGCTACGCACAGCTTTAATTTGGGAGACAGGGCACAGGAAGGCGGGGCCTCAGGCGGCCAGAGCGGGCGGGGCCCGGGGAACAGGCGGTGCCGAAGAGGATGTGCAGGAAAGGGGCCCAGACACACAAGCGGCCTAAGGATGCCCACAAGATGCCGCGAGAGGCCCTTGGAAGCCCCCAAGGAGCCCCACGGGGACCTGGGAGGCCAAAACAACTGAAAGACCTTCAGCGGTTCCATGTGCTTTGCCTCCGAAGCTGGTTGGCCTAAGATTGACGCCGCATGACTGGCACGAGACGTCAGAAGACCGCAGAAGCATTACGAGATACCCAAGATCCCCGAAGAGTCCCTGGGAAGCCCCGAGCCGAGATGGCCCCACAGTTGTGGATTGCTTCTTCCACTCAGGCTTTTCGGCTTGAGATGATCTCAGGAAGGCTTCAAAGAGCCCCGAGATGGCCCCGGAGAGCCCCCAAAGTCCCAAAGACGCCACAAGACGGCCCAAACGCAACGCTACAGCATCGCGGCGCTGCTTCCCACGCGACACCAGGATGGCTCTACCGAGCCTGGCCAGGAGAGCTCTGAAGAACCATGCTGCGTTCATGACGGTGCTGCGCTGGCACCGTGGCGGGGTTTGCCGCAGGCAGCTGGATGCCTCGAGACCTCCACCTCCTCCAGCAGCTGGCGCTTCGAGCCCTCCGCCTCCGCCAGCAGCTTCTGGCTCTGCGAGCGTTCCTCGCCGACCAGGACCTTCTGCGACTCCTGCGCGGCCTCCGCCTGGGCGAGCCGCTCCGACAGGGCGGCCTGCGAGGCCTCCGCTTGCTCCAGCAGCTCTTGGGCCCGCACGAGCTCCTCGCCGGACCGCCGCTGGGACTGGTTGTGCGCAGCGTCCAACTCCGACAAACGCTCGGAGAAGCCGAGCTTCGCCTGCTGCAGCTGGCGCTTCGAGTCCTCCGCCTCGACCAGCAGCCGGCGCCCCGACTCATCCGCCTCGTCCAGTAGCTGGCGCCTCGAGTCCTCCACCTCCCTCCTGCAGCCGACGCCTCGAGACCTCCGCCTCCTCCAGCAGCCGCCGGCTCTGCGAGCACTCCTCGCTGGCCTGGACCCTCTGCGTCTCCAGCGCAGCCTCGAGCACGGCAAGCTGCTCGGAGAGGCTGGCCTGCAGCCGCCGCTTCGACTCCTCCGCCTCTTCCAGCTGCTGCTGACCACGCGAACGCTCCTCGCTGGCGCGCTCCTGCTGGGAGTCCTGCGCGGCCTGCAGCCTGGCGAGCTGCTCGGAGAGGCTGGCCTGCAGCCGCAGCTTCGAGTCCGCCGCCTCTTCCAGTAGCTGCCTCAGCTGCGCCTGGTCCTCGCTGGCGCGCTTCTCCTGGGAGTCCTTCTCGGTCTCCAGCTTGCTGAGCTTCTCGGACAGGCTCGCCTGCAGCTGCAACTTCGAGCCCTCCGCCTCTTCCAAGAGCTGTCGGCTATGTGCGTGCCTCTCGCTGGCGCGCTCTTCCTGGGACTCCTGCGCGGCGTGCAGCTCAGCGAGCTTCTCAGAGAGGCTGGCCTGCAGCTGCGCCCTGGAACTCTCCGCCTCTTCCAGCAACTGCCGACCCTGCGCGCGCTCCTCGCTGGCGAGCTTCTGCAGCGAGCTCTCCGCGGCCTCCAGGCGAGTGATCTTCTCGGAGAGCCTCTCCTGCAGCTGCAGCTTCGAGTCCTCCGCCTCCTGCAGCTGCTTCCGCTGCTGCGCGTGCTCCTCGCTGGCGAGCTTCTGCCTGGAGTCCCGCACCGCCTGCAGCTCGGCGAGCTGCTCGGAGAGGCTGGCCTGCAGCTGCTGCTTCGAGTTCTCTGCCTCCTCCAGCAGCTGCTGGCTCTGCGCGTGCTCCTCCCTGGCGCGCTCGCGGAAGACGACCTCCGCCTGCTGCAGCTGATCCGCCTGCGCGCCGTCGGCACGTCGGGGCGTGTCAGGCTGCCTGCTGCTTGGCGACCCCCACCTCGCCGCACGCTTGTTGAGAATGACCGTCCCCTGCGTGTTGCTCCGTGGCGCTCGTCTCGGCCTCGAGACCAGCGCCAAGGCGGCTCCAGGACTAGACCGAGACGGGTGCAAGATGCCCTGGAACCAGCCCCGAATGGCCCAGACACCCAAGCGGCCTGAGGATGCCCACAAGATGCCGCGAGAGGCCCTTGGAAGCCCCCAAGAAAGAGCCCCCCGGGGCCCTGGGAGGCCAAAACAACTGAAAGACCTTCAGCTGCTCCATGTGCTTTGCCTCCGAAGCTGGTTGGCCTAAGACTGATGCCGCAAGACTGACACGAGACGTCAGAAAGACCACAGAGGCATCACGAGATCACCCCGAGATCCCCGAAGAGGCCCTAGGAAGCCCCGAGCCGAGATGGCCCCACAGTTGTGGATTGCTGTTTTCTGGTCAGGCTTTTCGGCTTGAGATGATCTCAGGAAGGCGTCAAAGAGCCCCGAGATGGCCCTGGAGAGTCCCCAAAGTCCCAAAGACGCCACAAGACGGCCCAACGCAACGCTACAGCACCGTGACCCCAGGATGGCTCTTCCGAGTCTGGCCGAGATGCGTTCATGACGGTGCTGCGCTGGCACCGTGGCGGGGTTTGCCGCAGGCAGCTGGATGCCTCGAGACCTCCACCTCCTCGAGCAGCTGGCGCTTCGAGCCCTCCGCCTCCGCCAGCAGCTTCTGGCTCTGCGAGCGTTCCTCGCCGACCAGGACCTTCTGCGACTCCTGCGCGGCCTCCGCCTGGGCGAGCCGCTCCGACAGGGCGGCCTGCGAGGCCTCCGCTTGCTCCAGCAGCTCTTGGGCCCGCACGAGCTCCTCGCCGGACCGCCGCTGGGACTGGTTGTGCGCAGCGTCCAACTCCGACAAACGCTCGGAGAAGCCGAGCTTCGCCTGCTGCAGCTGGCGCTTCGAGTCCTCCGCCTCGACCAGCAGCCGGCGCCCCGACTCATCCGCCTCGTCCAGTAGCTGGCGCCTCGAGTCCTCCACCTCCTCCTGCAGCCGACGCCTCGAGACCTCCGCCTCCTCCAGCAGCCGCCGGCTCTGCGAGCACTCCTCGCTGGCCTGGACTCTCTGCGTCTCCAGCGCAGCCTCGAGCACGGCAAGCTGCTCGGAGAGGGCTGGCCTGCAGCCGCCGCTTCGACTCCTCCGCCTCTTCCAGCTGCTGCTGACCACGCGAACGCTCTCGCTGGCGCGCTCCTGCTGGGAGTCCTGCGCGGCCTGCAGCCTGGCGAGCTGCTCGGAGAGGCTGGCCTGCAGCTGCAGCTTCGAGTCCGCCGCCTCTTCCAGTAGCTGCCTCAGCTGCGGCCTGGTCCTCGCTGGCGCGCTTCTCCTGGGAGTCCTTCTCGGTCTCCAGCTTGCTGAGCTTCTCGGACAGGCTCGCCTGCAGCTGCAACTTCGAGCCCTCCGCCTCTTCCAAGAGCTGTCGGCTCTGTGCGTGCCTCTCGCTGGCGCGCTCTTCCTGGGACTCCTGCGCGGCGTGCAGCTCAGCGAGCTTCTCAGAGAGGCTGGCCTGCAGCTGCGCCCTGGAACTCTCCGCCGCTTCCAGCAACTGCCGACCCTGCGCGCGCTCCTCGCTGGCGAGCTTCTGCAGCGAGCTCTCCGCGGCCTCCAGGCGAGTGATCTTCTCGGAGAGCCTCTCCTGCAGCTGCAGCTTTGAATCCTCCGCCTCCTGCAGCTGCTTCCGCTGATGCGCGTGCTCCTCGCTGGCGAGCTTCTGCCTGGAGTCCCGCACCGCCTGCAGCTCGGCGAGCTGCTCGGAGAGGCTGGCCTGCAGCTGCTGCTTCGAGTTCTCTGCCTCCTCCAGCAGCTGCTGGCTCTGCGCGTGCTCCTCCCTGGCGCGCTCGCGGAAGACGACCTCCGCCTGCTGCAGCTGATCCGCCTGCGCGCCGTCGGCACGTCGGGGCGTGTCAGGCTGCCTGCTGCTTGGCGACCCCCACCTCGCCGCACGCTTGTTGAGAATGACCGTCCCCTGCGTGTTGCTCCGTGGCGCTCGTCTCGGCCTCGAGACCAGCCGCAGATGGCCCAGACACACAAGCGGCCTAAGGATGTCCACAAGATGCCGCGAGAGGCCCTTGGAAGCCACCAAAGAGCCCCCCGGGGCCCTGGGAGGCCAAAACAACTGAAAGACCTTCAGCTGCTCCATGTGCTTTGCCTCCGAAGCTGGTTGGCCTAAGATTGATGCCGCAAGACTGACACGAGACGTCAGAAAGACCACAGAGGCATTGCGAGATCACCCCGAGATCCCCGAAGAGGCCCTAGGAAGCCCCGAGCCGAGATGGCCTCACAGTTGTGGATTGCTTCCTCCACTCAGGCTTTTCGGCTCAAGATGATCTCAGGAAGGCTTCAAAGAGCCCCGAGATGGCCCCGGAGAGTCCCCAAAGTCCCAAAGACGCCACATGACGGCCCAAAACGCAACGCTGCAGCATCGCGGCGCTGCTTCCCACGCGACACCAGGATGGCTCTACCGAGACTGGCCGAGAGAGCTTTGAAGAACCATGCTGCGTTCATGACGGTGCTGCGCTGGCACCGTGGCGAGGTTTGCCGCAGGCAGCCGGATGCCTCGAGACCTCCACCTCCTCCAGCAGCTGGCGCTTCGAGCCCTCCGCCTCCGCCAGCAGCTTCTGGCTCTGCGAGCGTTCCTCGCCGACCAGGACCTGCTGCGACTCCCGCGCGGCCTCCGCCTGGGCGAGCCGCTCCGACAGAGCGGCCTGCGAGGCCTCCGCTCGCTCCAGCAGCTCTTGGGCCCGCACGAGCTCCTCGCCGGACCGCCGCTGGGACTGGTTGTGCGCAGCGTCCAACTCCGACAAACGCTCGGAGAAGCCGAGTTTCGCCTGCCGCAGCTGGCGCTTCGAGTCCTCCGCCTCGACCAGCAGCCGGCGCCCTGACTCATCCGCCTCGTCCAGCAGCTGGCGCCTCGAGTCCTCCACCTCCTCCTGCAGCCGACGCCTCGAGACCCCCGCCTCCTCCAGCAGCCGCCGGCTCTGCGAGCACTCCTCGCTGGCCTGGACCCTCTGCGTCTCAGCGCAGCCTCGAGCACGGCAAGCTGCTCGGAGAGGCTGGCCTGCAGCCGCCGCTTCGACTCCTCCGCCTCTTCCAGCTGCTGCTGACCCCGCGAACGCTCCTCGCTGGCGCGCTCCTGCTGAGAGTCCTGCGCGGCCTGCAGCCTGGCGAGCTGCTCGGAGAGGCTGGCCTGCAGCTGCGCCCTCGAGCTCTCCGCCGCTTCCAGCAACTGCCGACCCTGCGCGTGTTCCTCGCTGCGCGAGCTTCTGCAGCGAGCTCTCCGCGAGCAACTGCCAGCGCGAGTTCTGCATCTTCCAGGCGAGTGATCGGAGAGCCTCTCCTGCAGCTGCAGCTTCGAGTCCTCCGCCTCCTGCAGCTGCTTCCGTTGCTGCGAGTGCTCCTCGCTGGCGAGCTTCTGCCTGGAGTCCCGCACCGCCTGCAGCTCGGCGAGCTGCTCGGAGAGGCTGGCCTGCAGCTGCTGCTTCGAGTTCTCTGCTTCCTGCAGCAGCTGCTGGCTCTGCGCGTGCTCCTCCCTGGCGCGCTCGCGGAAGACGACCTCCGCCTCCTGCAGCTGATCCGCCTGCGCGCCGTCGGCACGTCGGGGCGTGTCAGGCTGCCTGCTGCTTGGCGACCCCCACCTCGCCGCACGCTTGTTTAGAAAGACCGCCCCCTGCGTGTTGCTCCGTGGCGCTCTTCTCGTCCTCGAGACAGCGCCAAGACGGCTCCAGGACCGTCCTGAGACGGCTGCAAGATGCCCTGGAACCAGCCGCAGATGGCCCAGACACACAAGCGGCCTGAGGATGCCCACGAGATGCTGCGAGAGGCCCTTGGAAGCCCCCAAGGAGCCCCCCGGGGCCCTGGGAGGCCAAAACAACTGAAAGACCTTCAGCGGTTCAATGTGCTTCGCCTCCGAAGCTGGTTGGCCTAAGATTGACGCCGCATGACTGGCACGAGACGTCAGAAAGACCACAGAAGCATTACGAGATCCCCAGGATCCCCGACAAGGCCCTGGGAAGCGCCGAGCCGAGATGGCCCCAGTTGTGGATTGCTTCTTCCGGTCAGGCTTTTCGGCTTGAGATGATCTCAGGAAGGCCCCTAAGAGCCCCGAGATGGCCCCGGAGAGTCCCCAAAGTCCCAAAGACGCCACAAGACGGCCCAAACGCAACGCTACAGCATCGCGGCGCTGCTTCCCACGCGCCCACGCGACCCCAGGATGGCTCTACCGAGCCTGGCCGGGAGAGCTCCGAAGAACCATGCTGCGTTCATGACGGTGCTGCGCTGGCACCGTGGCGGGGTTTGCCGCAGGCAACCGGATGCCTCGAGACCTCCACCTCCTCCAGCAGCTGGCGCTTCGAGCCCTCCGCCTCTGCCAGCAGCTTCTGGCTCTGCGAGCGTTCCTCGCCGACCAGGACCTGCTGCGACTCCCGCGCGGCCTCCGCCTGGGCGAGCCGCTCCGACAGAGCGGCCTGCAAGGCCTCCGCTCGCTCCAGCAGCTCTTGGGCCCGCACGAGCTCCTCGCCGGACCGCCGCTGGGACTGGTTGTGCGCAGCGTCCAACTCCGACAAACGCTCGGAGAAGCCGAGCTTCGCCTGCTGCAGCTGGCGCTTCGAGTCCTCCGCCTCGACCAGCAGCCGGCGCCCTGACTCATCCGCCTCGTCCAGCAGCTGGCGCCTCGAGTCCTCCACCTCCTCCTGCAGCCGACGCCTCGAGACCTCCGCCTCCTCCAGCAGCCGCCGGCTCTGCGAGCACTCCTCGCTGGCCTGGACCCTCTGCGTCTCCAGCGCAGCCTCGAGCACGGCAAGCTGCTCGGAGAGGCTGGCCTGCAGCCGCCGCTTCGACTCCTCCGCCTCTTCCAGCTGCTGCTGACCCCGCGAACGCTCCTCGCTGGCGCGCTCCTGCTGAGAGTCCTGCGCGGCCTGCAGCCTGGCGAGCTGCTCGGAGAGGCTGGCCTGCAGCTGCGCCCTCGAGCTCTCCGCCGCTTCCAGCAACTGCCGACCCTGCGCGTGTTCCTCGCTGGCGAGCTTCTGCAGCGAGCTCTCCGCGACCTCCAGGCGAGTGATCTTCTCGGAGAGCCTCTCCTGCAGCTGCAGCTTCGAGTCCTCCGCCTCCTGCAGCTGCTTCCGTTGCTGCGAGTGCTCCTCGCTGGCGAGCTTCTGCCTGGAGTCCCGCACCGCCTGCAGCTCGGCGAGCTGCTCGGAGAGGCTGGCCTGCAGCTGCTGCTTCGAGTTCTCTGCTTCCTCCAGCAGCTGCTGGCTCTGCGCGTGCTCCTCCCTAGCGCGCTCGCAGAAGCCGACCTCCGCCTCCTGCAGCTGATCCGCCTGCGCGCCTTCGGCACGTCGGGGCGTGTCAGGCTGCCTGCTGTCTGGCGACCCCCACCTCGCCGCACGCTTGTTTAGAAAGACCGCCCCCTGCGTGTTGCTCCGTGGCGCTCTTCTCGGCCTCGAGACAGCGCCAAGACGGCTCCAGGACCGTCCTGAGACGGCTGCACTCTGAAAGATGCCCTGGGACCGGCCTCACATGTCTCAGACAGACTGACCTGAGATGTCCAAAAGACCCCAGAAGCCTCACGAGATCCCCGAGATCGGTTTGATTCCTGGGCAGTTCTGCGTGATATGGTCCCAGGAGGGCTTCAGAGAAACCCGAGATGGCCCCAGAGAGTCCCCCAAGCCCGCCCTAAACGGCACCAACGCAACGCTAACCAAGTACAGCATCGCGGCGCTGCTTCCCACGCGACACCAGGATGGCTCTACCGAGCCTGGTCGAGACAGCTCTGAAGAACCATGCTGCGTTCATGACGGTGCTGCGCTGGCACCGTGGCGAGGTTTGCCGCAGGCAGCCGGATGCCTCGAGACCTCCACCTCCTCCAGCAGCTGGCGCTTCGAGCCCTCCGCCTCCGCCAGCAGCTTCTGGCTCTGCGAGCGTTCCTCGCCGACCAGGACCTGCTGCGACTCCCGCGCGGCCTCCGCCTGGGCGAGCCGCTCCGACAGAGCGGCCTGCGAGGCCTCCGCTCGCTCCAGCAGCTCTTGGGCCCGCACGAGCTCCTCGCCGGACCGCCGCTGGGACTGGTTGTGCGCAGCGTCCAACTCCGACAAACGCTCGGAGAAGCCGAGCTTCGCCTGCTGCAGCTGGCGCTTCGAGTCCTCCGCCTCGACCAGCAGCCGGCGCCCTGACTCATCCGCCTCGTCCAGCAGCTGGCGCCTCGAGTCCTCCACCTCCTCCTGCAGCCGACGCCTCGAGACCTCCGCCTCCTCCAGCAGCCGCCGGCTCTGCGAGCACTCCTCGCTGGCCTGGACCCTCTGCGTCTCCAGCGCAGCCTCGAGCACGGCAAGCTGCTCGGAGAGGCTGGCCTGCAGCCGCCGCTTCGACTCCTCCGCCTCTTCCAGCTGCTGCTGACCCCGCGAACGCTCCTCGCTGGCGCGCTCCTGCTGAGAGTCCTGCGCGGCCTGCAGCCTGGCGAGCTGCTCGGAGAGGCTGGCCTGCAGCTGCGCCCTCGAGCTCTCCGCCGCTTCCAGCAACTGCCGACCCTGCGCGCGCTCCTCGCTGACAAGTTTCTGCAGCGAGCTCTCCGCGGCCTCCAGGCGAGTGATCTTCTCGGAGAGCCTCTCCTGCAGCTGCAGCTTCGAGTCCTCCGCCTCCTGCAGCTGCTTCCGTTGCTGCGAGTGCTCCTCGCTGGCGAGCTTCTGCCTGGAGTCCCGCACCGCCTGCAGCTCGGCGAGCTGCTCGGAGAGGCTGGCCTGCAGCTGCTGCTTCGAGTTCTCTGCTTCCTGCAGCAGCTGCTGGCTCTGCGCGTGCTCCTCCCTAGCGCGCTCGCAGAAGCCGACCTCCGCCTCCTGCAGCTGATCCGCCTGCGCGCCTTCGGCACGTCGGGGCGTGTCAGGCTGCCTGCTGCCTGGCGACCCCCACCTCGCCGCACGCTTGTTTAGAAAGACCGCCCCCTGCGTGTTGCTCCGTGGCGCTCTTCTCGGCCTCGAGACAGCGCCAAGACGGCTCCAGGACCGTCCTGAGACGGCTGCAAGATGCCCTGGAACCAGCCGCAGATGGCCCAGACACACAAGCGGCCTGAGGATGCCCACAAGATGCCGCGAGAGGCCCTTGGACGCCCCCAAGGAGCCCCCCGGGGCCCTGGGAGGCCAAAACAACTGAAAGACCTTCAGCTGCTCAATGTGCTTCGCCTCCGAAGCTGGTTGGCCTAAGATTGACGCCGCATGACTGGCACGAGACGTCAGAAGACCACAGAAGCATTACGAGATACCCAAGATCCCCGAAGAGGCCCTGGGAAGCCCCGAGCCGAGATGGCCCCACAGTTGTGGATTGCTTTTTCTGGTCAGGCTTTTCGGCTTGAGATGATCTCAGGAAGGCTTCAAAGAGCCCCGAGATGGCCCCGGAGAGCCCCCAAAGTCCCAAAGACGCCACAAGACGGCCCAAACGCAACGCTACAGCATCGCGGCGCTGCTTCCCACGCGACACCAGGATGGCTCTACCGAGCCTGGCCGGGAGAGCTCCGAAGAACCATGCTGCGTTCATGACGGTGCTGCGCTCGCACCGTGGCGAGGTTCGCCGCAGGCAGCTGGATGCCTCGAGACCTCCACCTCCTCCAGCAGCTGGCGCTTCGAGCCCTCCGCCTCCGCCAGCAGCTTCTGGCTCTGCGAGCGTTCCTCGCCGACCAGGCCCTTCTGCGACTCCCGCGC